GCCTGTGCTACGTCCTGTTTTATGACCTGTGTTATGGCGTGTGTTACTACCTGTTTTATGACCTTTGGTATGGCCTGTGTTACGACCTGTGGTATGGCCTGTTACGACCTGTATTAACACCTGTGTTATGACCTGTATTATTACCTGTGTTATGGCCTGTGTTACGACCTGTGTTATGGCCTGTATTATAACTTGTATTATGGACTGTGTTCCGACCTGTGTTATGGCCTGTGTTACGACCTGTTTTATAACCTGTGTTATGGCCTGTGTTACGACCTGTGTTATGGACTGTGTTCCGACCTGTGTTATGGCGTGTGTTACGACCTGTGTTATTGCCTGTGTTACGACCTGTGTTATTGCCTGTGTTACGACCTGTGTTATTGCCTGTTGAACGACCTGTGTTACGACCTGTGTTATTGCCTGTGTTACGACCTGTGTTATTGCCTGTGTTACGACCTGTGTCATTGCCTGTGTTACGACCTGTATTACAACCTGTGTTACGACCTGTAATACAACCTGTGTTATGGCCTGTGTTATAACCTGTGTTATGGCCCGTGTTACGACCTCTGTTATAGATTGTGTTACAACCCGTGTTATTGCCCGTGTTATAGATTGTGTTACAACCCGTGTTATGAGTGAGTGAGTGAGTTAAGATTTTAAGTCACATCGGCAATATTTCAGCCATATCGTGACTAAAGCAAGTTATAAATAAACTGAGGGGCAAAAGAAACGTCCCCGATCATTTTTGTATCATAAAATGATACAAACACGTGCAATTCAATGTTGAAATGTTTGATATAATTTTTGAACATATTATGCAGACTGTCATTACAGGACAATTGAAACAATTTGCTGTAAGTAGAGTTTTTGTGACGTTTTTCACAGGAGGTTCAAATGTCCGGTTTTCGATCATGACAACACATGCACATCAGTACTGACAGAGTGTCTTTGAGTGTCCAACTCCTCAGTAGCGAGTGTGTCCACCTCTTGCAGCGATACATGCTGCCACACGACGTCGTGCAGAGTGCACAAGACGTCTGATCACGTGATGTGGGATGCGACGCCATTCTTCCTGTAGAGCTTGAGCCAAAGCGTTTCTTGTCTGTGGGGATGTTGACGTTGCTTAACCTGACGGCCGAGATGATCCCATAGGTGCTCAATAGGTGATAAATCGGGGATCTTGCTGGCCAAGGAATGACGTTTACGTTGTTGTTGTTCAGGAAGTTCCGGGTAACAACAGCAGTGTGGGGAGTAGCGTTATCCTGCTGAAACAACACGCCTGGATTCTGCTGGAGGAAGGGTAACACGACAGGTCGTAAAACAACATCAATGTATCGACGGGCATTCAGGTTTCCCTCTATCACCAACAAGTCAGTCTTCCTCTCGCCACAAATCTCCCCACACCATCACACTACCGCCGCCAAACGTCTCAACTTCCTGAACGCAACAACGTGCTGTGCGTTCGTTCCGACGTCTGTAGACTCGTACCCGACCATCAGCTTTGTTCAACTGGAAGCGGCTCTCGTCACTGAAGAGTACCTGGCGCCAGTTCCGCGGCTGCCACTGCCGAACTCTACGTGCCCAAGCCAATCGACGACGTCGATGTTCACGCGTTAACGTCACGCCCGGAATGGTCTGTAGGCTCTGATACCGAATCGGCGGAGTCGTCTGGATATGGTCCTTCTACTGACTGGATGGGTAAGGCTGGTTGTTGCTGATGACGTCACAGTCAGGAATCTGTTGCGCAAGTGAAGCACCCGTAAATGGCGGTCTTCCTGAGGGGTGGTTACGGGTGGCCTCCTGTCCTAGGCCTGTCTGCAGTCCGACCTGTTGTTCTGAAGCGTGTCATCAGTCTGGTGATGGTTTTCTTGCTGCAACCCATGATTCTTTGCAACGTGACTGTGAGAAGCACCCAGCTGCAACATCCCAATAGCTCGTTCTCTCTGTTCTGCCGTGAGTCGAGGCATGTTCTTTGTGTCCAACGTATTGAAGTGATGAATTCGAACAGTCGAGCATAATTTTTATACTGTACTTTCATACGGGTATGTTTCCACAGAAGCATGCAAAAAACGTGAATAAAAGCAATTTTCATGCTTACAAAAAACTCCACGTGGATTTCCTTTCTGTGAAACGTGGGGATGCGTTCGGGAGATGTGTTCCTAAATAAATTTCCGTCATAACGAAAACAGAAGAAATGTTTTTTACAATTTTACTTTGGGGACGTTTCTTTTGCCCCTCAGTTTATATTAACAATTTAAGTGAAATTATAAAATTCTGCCAACGAAGGACAGTAAAACAACTAGATTATCACAGATATATACGTAAAACTAGTAATTGAATCTAAAACATTTTAACTATAGGGGACAACACAATATAAAAAAGGGCTATAGATCGCTAACAACTAAAGGTAGATCACCATACTAGGGACCATGGGGACTTACAGTACATTTGCTTCCTGCATGGGCCCTAGCTGGATTTACATCATCCCCTCAGCTGTTAGCAATTGAGATATATCTATCCATACATTAAAATTACACATATTCTACGATTAAAAAAACGGAAAGTTGAAATTTACTTTGAATGTTTTGGGACTTACGTACCCTCTCAGGAGGACAATAATTTTACAGTACTTTAACCCCCCTCGAGCATACCGCCACAACCCGTGTTATGGCCCGTGTTAAGGCCTGTGTTACGACCTGTGTTATGGTCCGTGTTAAGGCCTGTGTTACGACCTGTGTTATGGCCCGTGTTAAGGCCTGTGTTACGACCTGTGTTATTGCCTTTGTTATGGATTCTGTTACAACCTGTGTTATAGCCTGTGCTACGTCCTGTTTTATGACCTGTTTTATGTCCTGTGTTACGACCTGTGGTATGGCCTGTGTTACGACCTGTATTAACACCTGTGTTATGACCTGTATTATTACCTGTGTTATGGCCTGTGTTACGACCTGTGTTATGGCCTGTATTATAACTTGTATTATGGACTGTGTTCCGACCTGTGTTATGGCCTGTGTTACGACCTGTGTTATGGCCTGTATTATAACTTGTATTATGGACTATGTTCCGACCTGTGTTATGGCCTGTGTTATAACCTGTGTTATGGCCTGTATTATAACTTGTATTATGGACTGTGTTCCGACCTGTGTTATGGACTGTGTTACGACCTGTGTTATGGCCTGTAGTTATAACCTGTGTTATGGCCTGTGTTACGACCTGTGTTATGGACTGTGTTCCGACCTGTGTTATGGCCTGTGTTACGACCTGTGTTATGGACTGTGTTACGACCTGTGTTATTGCCTGTGTTACGACCTGTGTTATTGCCTGTGTTACGACCTGTGTTATTGCCTGTGTTACGACCTGTGTTATGGACTGTGTTCCGACCTGTGTTATGGCGTGTGTGACGACCTGTGTTTGTGCCTGTGTTACGACCTGTGTCATTGCCTGTGTTACGACCTGTATTACAACCTGTGTTACGACCTGTAATACAACCTGTGTTATGGCCTGTGTTATAACCTGTGTTATGGCGTGTCTGACGACCTGTGTTATGGCCTGTGTTACGACCTGTGTTATGGATTGTGTTACGCCGGTGTTATACCTAGGCGAGTGCTTTCTACTGACACGGTTTTTTGCATTTTTTCCTCAATGCTAAGTTCCAAACATAAATATATCAAGTTTGACCACAGGCGGATTCCCACCATCGTCAAAATATACACTCAAACGCATAAGGTGGTTTGGGGAACATTGGACTCATGTAGCTGCGGCAAAATCAATACAAATACAGCGTGTTTACCGTAGGAGAAATGAGCATTTTTCCCCTAATTGCATTCGACAGGTCGACAGAGGTAGTGTCATGGTGTGGGGTGATATATCCAGCACACAAAGATCTGATTTAGTGGTGGTTCAGGGTAATTTGACAGCAAATCGTTACATCAACGAAGGCCTTGCACGTCACATGCTTCCGATTATGGACCGACAGAGGGAGTTGTTCCAGCATGACAACGCTACTGCACATACAGCACGCGTCACGGTCCGCTTGTCAATTCGAACGTCAATGACTTGCCATGGCCTTCCCGATCACCAGATCTAAACCCGATAGAACACCTATGGGATGAACTCAGTCGACGTTTAAGTCAACGTCAAAACACGCCTCAGACACTCCCACAACTGACCATCGCATTGCAGGAAGAGTGGGGAAGAATTCCGCAAGAGCGACTTCGTCGACTTATCCAGTCTGTGCCGAGACGTTGCCGAGCAATAATTGCTGCCAATGGTGGCCATACAAATTACATGAAAAAATTGTTCTCAAACTAATGCAATACATTCTTCTAAATATCGCTTATGCGTTTCTTTGTTTGAAGAGTGAGGAAACAAATATGCAGTCTGAAGCGAGAAATTAATCATAATGTCCCGCAACTGTGAATGGATTGAACTTAAGTACAACTTAACTGACAAAGGTTGAATCAGTGAAGATCCGTGTTAGAATTGATCTTCAGCAACCCATGCTTGTCGTAAGAGGCGACTAAAGGGATCGGGTGGTCAAGCTCGCTGACTTGGTTGATACATGTCATCGTATCCAAATTTTGTAGATCGATGTTCATGCTGTTGATCACTGGATTGTCAGGTTCAGACTCGAGTATTTACAGACAGCCGCCATATAGCTTGGATATTGCTGAGTGCGGCGTAAAACAACAAACAAGCAAACAACTTAGTTGACGCAAACGTTGTATTTCGAAAGTATCAACACTGATATGCACACTTGTATAATTACAATAGAAAATGACGTCATTTAATGAATGTAGCTGATACAGTAGTACAAAATCTGGAAGCGTCTGCTATGACGTCACACCTCCTACCGGGGCGGTGGGGTAGCCTTGTGGTTAAAGCCTATTCCCCACATGGGTACAATGTGTGAAGTCCATTTCCGGTGTCCCCCGCCGTGATATTACTGTAATATTGATAAAAGCGGCGTTAAACTAAACTCACTCACTTCCTCCTCCTACCTTTACACAGCCGATCTGGCGCAGGCCAACTCCATCAAAGGCTGTCTTCATGGCATTACATTTAGTCAGGGCTGGGTCGGAGGTTACACAGAAACGGGCTGAAACAAATACACATACAGATACTCAGACATTATCGGTCACGTCACCCAGAAGGCGACATGTCATCTATAAAGGGAAACCTGACTACGTCATGTGTCCAAACACAGTGACGTGGGAACGCTTCTGAAAAAACGACACATTTCACACTGCCACACTGCACCCCATACAACCTCACCACATCACACACTGCCACACTATACAACATACAACCTCATCAAATCAAACACTGCCACACTACACAACATACAACCTCACCACATCACACACTGCCACACTACACCCAATACAACCTCACCACATCACACACTGACACACTGCACCCCATACAACCTCACCACATCACACACTGACACACTACACCCCATACAACCTCACCACATCACACACTGACACACTACACCCCATACAACCCCACCACATCACACACTGCCACACTACACAACATACAACCTCATCAAATCAAACACCGCCACACTACACAACATACAACCCCACCACGTCACACACTGCCACACTACACCCCATACAACCCCACCATATCAAACATTGCCACACTACACACTACACAACATACAACCTCACCACATCACACACTGCCACACTACACCCCATACAACCCCACCACATCACACACTGCCACACTACACAACATACAACCTCATCAAATCAAACACCGCCACACTACACAATATACAACCTCACCACATCACACACTGCCACACTACACAACATACAACCTCATCAAATCACACACTGCCACACTACACCCCATACCAACTCAATCCATCTCACACACTGCCACACTACACCCCATACAACCTCACCACATCACACACTGACACACTACCCCCATACAACCTCACCACATCACACAATGCCACACTACACCCCATACAACCTCACCACATCACACAATGCCACACTACACCCCATACAAACCAACCACATCACACACTGCACCCCATACAACTTCACCCACATCACAATTGCTACCACTACACCCCATACAACCTCACCACATCACACACTGCCACTACGCCTGGCCTCACATACAACTCCTCACACCACATCACACATTGCACCCACACATCAAAACAACAACACACACTGCCACACTACATCCCATACAACCTCATCACATCACACACTACACCCCATACAACCTCACCACATCACACAATGCCACACTACACCCCATACAACCTCACCACATCACACACTGCCACACTACACCCAATACAACCTCACCACATCACACACTGCCACACTACACCCCATACAACCCAACCACATCACACACTACCACACTACACAACATACAACCCCACCACGTCACATACTGTCACACAACACACCATACAACCTCACCACATCACACACTGCCACACTACACCCCATACAACTTCATCATATCACACATTGCCACACTACACAACATACAACCTCACCACGACACACACTGCCACACTACACCCCATACAACCTCACCACATCACACATTGCACCCCACACATTCAAACAGCCAACACACACTGCCACACTACACCCCATACAAACCCTCTACCACATCACACATTGCACCCCACACATCCAAACAACAAAACACAATTCCACACTAGTAATTCTACAACCACCTCACATCACACACACTCCTCTACACTATACACCCTATACAACCCTCACCACATCACACACATGACACACTACACCCTATACAACCTCTTTTACCATCACACATCGCCACACTACACCCTGTATACAACTCCTCTGACTATAAGACATCAAACACTACACCCTATACAACTCTCACCATATCACCTAATGCCATACTCATAATTCCTATACAACCTCTCATCTACATCAAACACCACTGACACACTATACAAATATACAACTCACCATATCACACACTGACACACTGCACTCCATACAACTCTCAATCCACATCACACTATACACCCCATACAACAACCCTACCACATCACACACTGCCACACTACACCCTATACAACCTCACCACATCACACACTGCCACACTACACCCTTATACAACTCTCACCATATCACACACTGCCACACTACACCCCATACAACCTCACCACATCACATACATGCCACACTACACCTCTATACAACCTTACTACACATCACACACTGCTATACACTACATACTATACAATCCCTACCCATATCACACACTGCCACACTTACACCCTATATACAACTTCATCATATCACACATTGCCACATAACACACTACACACACATACAACTCCTCACCACGTCACACACTGCCACACTACATTCCATACAACCTCATCAAACCAACACACTGCCACACTACACAAACATACAACCCCACCACGTCACACACACTGCCACACTACACCCCATACAACCCCTACCATATCAAACATTGCCACACTACACACTACACAACATACAACCTCACTACCATCACACACTGCCACACTACACCTCCATACAACCCTACTCATATCACACACACTGCTACACTACACAACATATATACCAAATCATCAAACACTGCCACAATACAATACATATTGTACCTCACCACATCACATACACTGCCACACTACACCAACATACAACTCTCATCAAATCACACACTGCCACACTACACCCCTATACCAACTCAAACCATCTCACACACTGCCACACTACACCCTATACAACCTCACCACATCACACACTGACACACTACACTCTATACAACCTTACCACATCACACATTGCCACACTACACACCCATACATAACTCCTCACCATATCACACAATGCCACACAAGCTACACTATACAACCTATACAATCACACACTGGACACACTACACCCCTATACAACTCTCACCATACATCACACACTGTCACACTACACACCACATACAACTCTCAACATATCATACACACTGCCACACTATAATTCCCTATACAACCTCACATCACACACTGTCACATTACACCCAGCCACATACAACTAATAACACACACACTGCACACTACAATCCTATACAACCTCACTAAATCACATCATACACTACACCCCATACAACTCTCACTCATCACATCTCACTACACTGCTATACAACTCACCATATCACACATACAATGCACACTACACACCTGCATCACAACTCTCACATCACACACTCATACACTACTAGCACTCCTATACAACTCTCACATACTAAGCATCACACAATGTCACACTACACCCTATACAACCTTATAAATCACATATTGCTACACGCTACACTATACAAATATACAACTCCTCACCACTGTCACATACTGCCACACACAAACACTTCTATACAACTCTCACCACATCACACACTACACCCCATACAACTTTCTCACCATCACACATATTGCCACACTACACTTCTATAAAACTCTCACCACGTCACACACTGCCACACTACACTGAATACAACTCACCACATCACACACACTGCTTACACACTACACCCTATACAACCCCTCACCACATCACACACTGACACACTACACCTATACAACCTCACCACATCACACACTGACACACAACACCCCATACAACCCCACCACATCACACACTGTTACACTACACAACATACAACCTCATCAAATCACACACTGCCACACTACACCCCATACAAACTCAATCCATCTCACACTCTGCCACACTACACCCCATACAACCTCACCACATCACACACTGACACACTACACAACATACAACCTCACCACATCACACACTGACACACTGCACCGCAAACAACCTAACCACATCACACACTGTCACACTACACCCCATACAACTTCACCACATCACACACTGACACACTACACCCCATACAACTCACTCACATCACACACACTGACACACTACTCCCCATACAACTCACGACATCACACAACAATACACTACATACAATATACAACTCTCACACATCACATAATGCTACACACTACACCACATACAACTGCTACACATCACACACTACACCCCATACAACCTCTACACATCACACATTGCCACACTACACCCCATACAACCTCACCACATCACACACTGCCACACTACACCCCATACAACCTCACCACATCACACATTGCACCCCACACATCCAAACAACAACACACACTGCCACACTACACCCCATACAACCTCACCACATCACACAATGACACGCTACACACCATACCTCACCACATAACACATTGCCACACTACACCCCATACAACCTCACCACATCACACACTGACACAAGCACCCTATACAATATCACATCACACACTGACACACTACACCCCTATACAACTCACCACATCATCACACACTGTCACACTACACACCACATACAACTCTCATATCACACATTGCCACACTACACCTCATACAACCTCACATCACACACTGTCACACTACACCCCATACAACCTCACATCACACACTGCCACACTACACCCCATACAACCTCACCAAATCACACACTGACACACTACACAACATACAACCTCACCACATCACACACTACACCCCATACAACCTCACCACATCACACATTGCCACACTACACCCCTTACAACCTCACCACATCACACACTGCCACACTACACCCCATACAACATCACCAAGTCACACACTGCCACACTACACCACATACAACCTCACCACATCACACACTGCCACACTACACCCCTTACAACCCTACACCACATCACACACTGCCACACTACACCTATACATCACAACTCAGCACATCACACACACTACACCTGCCACTTTACCAATACAACCTCACCACATCACACACTACACCCTAAACAACTCTCACCACATCACACACTGCAAACCACACCAAACCACATCACACCACACTACACTACACAACACCACATCACACCACACTACACAACACCACACACTCATTCACACACTACATTACACCACACCACACACCACACAACACCACACTACACTCACAACG